TTCAAATAAAAGCCCTGGGGTCAAAATTGGCCACGCCCCAGGGGGTCATTGATTTTCCCTGTATGCATATAGTAAGAACTTAAAAAATCTTCTTTTAAAGAACTCAAAGAGCTATGGCTAAGATATTTAGCATCAAACATGTTCTAATAGGTGTCTACCAAGTTTGTTCAAATAAAAGCCCTGGGGTCAAAATTGGCACCGCCCCGGGGGTCATTGATTTTCCAGATATTTGTATAGCAAAAACTTAAAAAACCTTCTTTGAAAAAACCCAAATAGCTAGAGTTAAGATATTAAGCATGAAACATCTTTTAGTGAGTGTTTACAAAGTTTGTTCAAATAAAAGACCTGGGGTCAAAATTGGCCCCGCCCCGGGGGTCATTGATTTTCTCTATATGTGTATAGCAAAAACTTAAAATCTTCTTTGAAAAAACCCAAATAGCTAGAGTTTAGATATTAAGCATGAAACATGTTCTAGTAAGTGTCTACAAAGTTTGTTTAAATAAAAGCCCTGGCCCGGCCCCAGGGGTGTCATTGTTTTTAACTATATGTGTTTAGTAAAAACTTTAAAAAAATCTTCTTTTAAAAATCCCAATGAGCTAGAGCTTAGATGTTTAGCATGAAACATCTTCTTATGGGTGTCTACCAAGTTTGTGCAAATAAAAGCCCTTGGGTTAAATTGGCCCTGCAACGTTGGGGGGGGGGGTTGGGGGGCCTATATACAGGTGAGCGACCTCAGGGCCATCATGGCCCTCTTGTTGTCATTCAGTGACAGATGTTGTATGGTTCTTTAAAACAATTTGTGATGAGTTTATAGCTTAAAGATCAAGGTCACGCTAGGACTTCTAAGGTTTATAGTTTTATATAAGTACACTTGTGGTTATATCCAGTCATCAATTCTGTCATCTTTGAATGGATAATCATTTTGAAATCACTAGGCATATTTCTTGGCACATATGGAAAAACTTGCCACATTCTAAAGCATGGTTGACAGTTAAAAGGATGATGGTTATACAATGTCAAAGTACTACTTTGATGGTTGTGTCTTTTCACGAAAGAAAAATTAAATGTGATTTCCTATATCAGTCTATATAAATGAAGTGACTACAAGGCAGGGCCAATATTGACTGAAGGGGCATGATTAAAAATTAACATCAGTTATGTGGTTGTTCTGCGGGAACTTTATTTCTGCGGTTCATAACGACACCGCAGATTTAAAAAACGCAGAAAATTAAGCCTTTCCCTATATCTATGTCGGAATATGTCAACTACCAGTATTGTATAATTACATTACTATTTACAGTAATCGGCTTTTACATATCCATCATGTATAAAATATTAGAAAAATACTTTTCTTGTTCTTTTTGTGTTTAAATACATATCATGTTTCTATGATTTTCGCTCACCCTAAGCTTGATTTTTTTGTAAAATAAAACTATTATAGTTTGACGGGTGCAATAAACATACCCTTTTGTATTTGTACAATATCTTGTGTTTAAGTGCGATTTTACCATTGTTTATTTTTCACACTTCATATTTCTACACTTGCAGTATTATTGTTTGATTTTATTAACCTGTCAATTCCATACTGATTATACGGTCAATGCACAGAATATATTAATATTCGATAAATGTTCGGTAAATTCCGTGAGATGTGCGCAGTAAGATATGATTAAATTCATCTTGTTTTTATGAATTAGTTACACTGACCGTTATAGTGCAATAGGGTAAACCACTGGTATATTTTATCTGAATGTTCAACGTGTTGTAGGATCGAGACAGAAAAAAGTTATGGTTGTTCCGTTTTTAATATGTTTTGCACCTTTTTGTAAATACTAAAAATTTGTATATAACAATGTTTAAGAATTAAAATACTGAAAATTCATTCCGATTAAAATCAATAAATGTAATTATACGATATAAAATGTGACAATTCAGTGTTTCTTAGTTGGTTCATATTCGTGTAGACAAATTGCAAGCGCTTGACCATTTTCATTAAAATATACTTAAAAATAAAGAAAGAATAAGTCTAAAAAGAATGTCAAAAAAGGGGATCGAACCTCGGACCCCTCGTGCATTAGGTAATCACTTAACCGACTGTGCTATTGCGGATGTTACAAGAACCTACATTAATCTAGTGTGAGTTTTCCAAACGTAAGTGATATACACCATATTAATTCTCATAAAATAAACGGAAAAAAACCGAAGTGGGATCGAATATTTAAATGAGTGCTATAATGTATTCATAATTGACAGGTCAATAAAATCAGACTATACAATTAATTGTTGTCATTGCATGTTGTTTATTTTTGTTTTTTAACGTTTATATACCGATACATGAAGTTGTCTGCATGTTTAGGAAGTAATGTACATGTTACATCAACAAGTCTTGAAATGTTGTCTGTTTGTATCGGTTAATTTTGTAAAAATATCTAAATTAAAACGCAGAAATAAAAAAAAATCAATGCGAGAATGATGACACTGCAGAAATAAGATACACAGAAATTTAAAACCCCCTATTAAAAAAAAAAATTAACAAAAATCGCAGAATATTAAGCCCGCAGAAATAAGTACTTATATGGTATATATAAATTTTGAGGAGGTAAACATGACAAATATTTAAACTCAAGGCATTGAAGTTTGTCAAAATAACACATAAATGTGTTTTCCTATACAGAACTATAATAACTAAGTGACCCCTGGGGCGTGGTCAGTATTAACCCAAGGAGCATAATTCCAGTTATGTTGTGGTCCACAAAGTGTTGTTGCATGCCAAATATCTAAGCTATGGGCATTGTAGTTTCACACAGTAAGTCTCAGATGTGATTTTCTTATATAAGGCTCCATAAATCAAGTGACCCCTGGGTCGGGGCCAATATTGAACCAAGGGGCATGATTCATATCAGTTTGTAAAGGTTAATAAGCTAATGCAATATGCTAAATATCTAAGCTCCAGATGTTGTAGTTTCACTTAATAAAACTTAAAGAAGGACTGCCCTAACCGGTGTTCTGCACATTCTCTCATTATAAGTAATATTTCTACTAAAATGTTTTAATTTCTTTCTATCGGTTCAAAAGATACATGACAGAAACAAAATTTTGATTCTCATACAAAATGGCTTCCTGAAGGTTAAAGCTAACCTGTGCTCTGCACATCGTCTCATTATGGTTAACATTTCTGCTAAATAGTTTCATTTGTCTTTTACTGGTTCAAAAGATTCAGACTGGACACAAAATTTAAAACAGGCAGGTGGACAGTTTACCAGATGCTTAACAATATACACCAAAATTTTTAGGCCTATAAAGAAGATTATAATTTGAAATAGTTATTTATTATTTTTATGCTTCCCGAAAAATTTCGGGGAAGGATATAGTCGTCGGGTTGTCCGTCTGTCCATCCATCCGTCAGTCCTTCCGTACATACGTCCCGAAATCGTGTCCGGCCCATAACTTTGTTATTTGAAGTTGGATTTTACAACTATTTTACAGAAATGATCACCATATTGAGATGACGTGTCGCGCACAACATTTGGGTCGCTACCTTGAAGGACACGTTGTCTCAATGTGGTCACAGCATGACCTTGCAGCAAAATCGTGTCCGGCCCATAACTTTGTTATTTGAAGTTGGATTTTACAACTATTTCATAGAAATGATCATCATATTGAGACGATGTGTGGCGCGCAACATTTGGGTCGCTACCTTGAAGGTCAAGGTCACAGGATGACCTTGCAGTAAAATCGTGTCCGGCCCATAACTTTGTTATTTGAAGTTGGATTTTACAATTACAGTAAACTCCGCTTATAACTAACTTACTGGGACATTCAAAACCTGTTCCTTATATCCGGAGTTCCTTGTAAGCATATAGCGAATTAGTTCGTTGTATCAGGAGTTTTTATAGCGAACAGATTTACATATAACAAACTGATTGTTTACCATTGTCCGCCATTTTTGAAGAGAATTTGATAAAGAAATAGAAATATTAGTTATTTATTTATATCTTAGACGCACTACCCGAGAGCGTACTTTTTGGAATTTGAAAATCATTGCTATTTCAGTTTTAGTTTCACTCCTTATCTCAATTTCAAATAAAATATAATATTTTGTTTCTAAACTATTTTCGTTTTCTTTTCATGATTGAGAATAAACAAGATTTTTCGATTTTTCCTTCCTTTTATATTGAATATCTTCTATTATACTTTAAGGGTGACTTTTACTAATGTAAGATATAGATTTCTTTTCATTTAAATCAAGCGTACTTTGTAGTTTGCAATGGATCATGCTTGCAAGCATGCATGATTATGTTGAAAACCGATTATAAATTATTATAATTATTTTACTCGAGCAAAACTATTGAAGAAAATAAATAAATAACCGTTTTATCTTGGTGAAAAGAGCTCATGCTAAAATATCCAAAATAGAAAACAATACAAATTCATTTGAATAGATGTATTGAAGTACATACAACGATAAACGGCACATTCGCCCGAGTTTTAATCCGTGCGAATGAAAACGAAAGATGAAAATGCGGGATCTATTTACGGATAGCCAATATTTTGGAGTTCGTTATAAAAGTGTAATTTTCTGTACTATTAACTAAATTGGGACTAAGAAATGAGTTCCTTATAAGCGATAATTCCTTATAACCGTGTTCGCTATAACCATATATATTTTATATTTAATAAGTTAAGAAGGCCAAAATTTCGGGTCAAATAAATTGTTCCCTATAACCGGAAGTTCGCTATAACCGTGTTCGCTATAAACGAAGATTACTGTATTTCACAGAAATTATCGATGTTGTTTGTTAATACAACCTATGGATTCTTGTATTACCAATGATAAAGCAAATTGTCCAGTTTTCTTGGCATTTCTGAGCTAAATATAACAGTACCAGTATTCAAATACCAAAATTTGGATGATGACAGTAAGTAACTTATATAAATAAGTGAATATGGCAAACTTTTAATATTGAAAAAAAAAACAACGTTATTTTACTTCATTTCAGACCAAATCTTCTAACATGGAGAATTATTTGAAAGGTGAAGTAAGAGAAGTAGAAATGCCTGATATGTTCTCACTAGGAAAAAAAGATGTACACATGAAAGTGGCAGCTGGTAGTAAAATCAGAAATCTCATGGGATATGCAATGAAGAAAATTAAAGTAAGTATTCAAACATTTCTATTACAGGTTTGAACGTCCTTGCCCTGATAATGATATATACAGTGCTATGTACAATTTTAAATTTTGCTAAATTGGCCAAAACTTTGTTATTCATGGATAAATTTGATTCAGGCTTGTACAAAACAACACTTATTCAAATATTACCTTTGAATGACTTTAACTGTCAAGGACAAGATACCAAAAATTTTGCTTAAATTGCAATAACTTTGTTATGCATATTCATCTAAAACAAGACAAAAATAAACATTGAATGATTCAAGTTTAACCTTGATCAGTTAAATGACCTTTGAAAGAATTTCGGGCATATTATGTTATACCCCCTGGCGTCCGTCCGTCTGTCTGTCTGTCTATCTGCACTCACAGGACAGTAATTATGTGGCTAGAGGGACAATAGGTAACTGTTCTTTCTCTTTGATGTCATTCATTCCGTAATGCTTTTATGTGGCTATTTTCTTTTGCGTGGCTAAAAAGAACAATAGAGAGAACAATAGAGTAGCCACATTATTACTCTCCTGTTAGAACGTCCGTCCGTCTGTCCGTCCGGCCGTTAACAATTTGGTTTCCGGAGCATAACTTAAGTTCCATTTGGCCCACAATATTCAAAATTCATAGGATGATTGTCCATATTGGGTAGAAGACCTTTATTGTTTTGGGGTCACAAGGTCAAAGGTCAAGGTCACTATGACCTTAAGACTGAAAACAGTTTCCGGAGCATAACTTAAGTTCCATTTGGCCGACAGTGTTCAAACTTCATAGGATGATTGTCCATATTGGGTAGAAGACCCCTATTGATTTTGGGGTCACAAAGTCAAAGTCACTATTACCTTAAAACTGAAAACAGTTTCCGAAACGTACTTTAAGTTCCATTTGGCCCACAGTGTTCAAACTTCATAGGATGATTGTCCATATAGGGTAGGAGACCCTTATTGATTTTGGGGTCACACGGTCAAAGGTCAAGGTCACTTTTACTTTAAAACTGAAAACAGTTTCCAGAGCATAACTTAAGGTCTATTTGTCCCACAATATTCAAACTTCATAGGATGATTGTCCATATTGGGTAGAATACCCCTATTGATTTTGGGGTGACAATGTCAAAGGTCAAGGTCACTATTACTTTAAAACTGAAAACAGTTTCTAGAACGTAACTTAATTTCTACTTGGCCCATGTGTTGAAACTTCATAGGATGATTGTCCATATATGGTAGAACACCCCTATTGATTTTGGGGTCACACGGTCAAAGTTCAAGGTAGCTATTACCTCAAAACTAAAAACAGTTTCCAGAGCATAAGTTCCATTTGGCCCACAATATTCAAACTTTATAGGAGGATTGCTATTTGAAGGAGGTACTACTTTATTTAATTTATGTAATGTCTTACAAATGCTTCATCCTTAGTAAAGAAAAAAAAACACTTTCGGGCATATAATGCTTTGCCTAGCGGTGCTCTTGTTACACTTCTTGAAAGTTATCATTCATTTATTAGAAGTAAAAGGTCATGTTCTTTACTGGGCACAGCTTGGGGGTCATTGTCTTTTTTCAACACCAGGTTAGGGTGTGCTCTAGAATTTTGCCTTCATCACTCATCAGTGTAAAATCTGATAACTTAAGTACAATTTTAAGCGGTCTGAAGAAGTATTATTACAATTTTTTTTAGCTCACCATAAAAGCCCCATGGGCTTAAATCTTAAAAAATATTACTCTGTGAAAATGCTTAGATATTTTGTGTGTAACACCATTTAGTGAAACTCTATAAAAATTGTTCAAATTATATCCCTGGGGTCAAAATTGGCCTTGCCCCAGGGGTCATTGATTTTCCTTATACATTTATCTATATAGAAAAATTTTTAAAATCTTTCTTCTCTGAATTGACAAATGCTGGAGGTTAGATATTTGGCATGAAACATTGTGTAGTGGACCTTTACCAAGATTTTTCAAATTATAGTCCTGGGGTCAAAATTGGTCCTGCCCTGGGGGTCATTGATTTTTCATTATGTACATATATTAATTTACTAAATATGTCAGCACTGGTAAAATTGGATGTTGTTAGCTCACCTGTCACAAAGTGACATGGTGAGCTTTTGTGATCACTTTTCGTCAGGCATCCGGCCGTCTAACTGTAAACTTTTACTTTAAACAACATCTCCTCATAAACTGCTAAGCCAGTTACATCCAAACTTTACAGGTATTCACCTTTGGTAGTCAACTTTAAACTCTGGTTGCCATGGCATCTGACAGAAAAACTTAAAATATCTTCTTTTAGAAAACCAAAAAAACTAGAGCTTAAATATTTGGCATGAAACATCATCTAGTCAGTGTCTAAATTGGCCCGCTCCTGAGGGGTCATTGATTTTTCTTATATGTGTATAGTAAAACTTAAAAAATCTTCTTATAAAAAATCCAAAGAGCTAGAGTGTCTACCAAGTTTGTTCAAATTTAAGCCCTGGGGTCAAAATTGGCCCCTCCCAGGGGGGGGGGGTCATTGTTTTTTTCCTATATGTATATAGTAAAAACTTAAAAAATCTTCTTATAAAAACCTCAAAGAGATAGAGCTTAGATATTTATCATGAAACACATCTTCTAATGGGTGTCTACCAAGTTTGTTCAAATAAAAGCCCCTGGTTTAAAATTGGCCTTATCCAGGGGCTATATTCATGTGAGCGATTTCAGGGCCATCATGGCCCTCTTGTTTTTATGCCCCAACCACATAGGGGTAGGGGTAGTCATGTAGAATTTCCTTTGTCTGTCCATCTGTCATACTGTCCTGCTGTATGTCAGTAGATTGATAAACAGTAGAATGTGAGGGCACCTGTGTCCTGTCGACACATTTCTAGTGTAAGTGTTTCCCTTTATGTTACATTAGGGAAAACTTTGTAAAGCTTCTTAAAAACTACTTGCTACTTGTAAGTGATATAGGGCCATCATGAACCTCTTGTTTTACATATTTTCTGCAATTTTGCTTAAATCTTAACATATTACCAATATCTTTACAGGACCCTGATACAAAGCAGCTGTGTTGGTCTGGTAGTGGTAAAGCAATTACAAAGACTGTTTCTTGTGCTGAAATCATGAAAAGAAAAATCAAGGTATGTCATTTGAAATTTGGATAAGGGCAACAAGGAGGATAGTAGTAATTCAACTGTTGGTCTGTCTGTCAGTCTTTCTGTCTGCCTATATGAGGTTTACGTAAATCTGCAAGTTGATTATGTCTTAAGTTCAACCTGTACCAATGGCTCCTAATTTCAGATCTACTTAAGTTATTTCTTGCATGTAGAATCTGATTCCATATTTGTTTTGCCATCAATGTGATACAAATTTCTGGTGAAAGCTTTTTTTAACCATGCAAGCAAACCATCCTTTACAGACGGGCATTAAGACCGAAGAATCAAAACATCGCTGTCTATAGAAGTAAAACAAATTATACGTCAAAAAAGTCTTTGTGACCTGTTATTAGATCTATTTCTGTATGTAAAAACTGTAGTTTCCAGCACTGAGAAAAGTTGAATACTCCTCTGACAGCTCTTGTTTTATATACTCGTGGCAAGCACCAAACAAAAAGATATATAGGTTTCTAGAACAAAGTCAGAAGAGAGTTGTGCTGAAAAACTGAATAAAAGCAAAGAAACTAATGAAAAAGGAAAACACTAGAGTTTAACAATGTTAGTGTAAATATGTAAAAGAAAAGGGACATGGTAATCAAAAATGAACTTACCAAAAATTATGTTATACATACTACATGTATTGCTAGAATAACTAATTAATTAATGATTCAGCATATTAAGTTGAGTCCTCATATATTGTGATGTTACAACTACTTTTCCTAATTGTTGAATGTTATGTTTTTAGCTCACCTGAGCTTGCTCAGGGTGAGCTTTTAGGATTGTTGAATGTCTGTCATCTGTCATCCGTCCACATTTGTTCGTTCACACTCTAGCAGTTACATTTTTGCCTCAATCATCATTAAACTTAGTCAGGATGCTTGTCAAGGTAATTGCTCAGATCAGATCGAGCATTGGTCATCTCGGATGAAAAACTAGGTCACAAGAGCTAAAAATAGAAAAATCTTGTTAACACTCTAGTGGCTACAGTTTTAATTCAAATATCCTGGAAATCGGTCTGAAAGTTTGTTTTGATGATTTCTAGGTCAAGTTTGAATATGGGTCACCTGGGGTCAAAAACTAGGTCACATGGCCCAAATATGGTAAAACCTTGTTAACACTGTAGTGGTCACATTTTTGACTCAATCATCATCAAACTTGGTAAGGATGCTTGTCTAGTTAATTGTTTGGATGAGTTCGAACATGCCCATAATGGGTCATCCTGGATGAAAAACTAGGTCACTGGAGCTACAGTTTTGATTCAAATATACTTGAAATTGGTCTGAAAGACAGGAAATTTGTTTGAATGATTTCTAGGTCAAGTTTGAATATGGGTCACCTGGGGTCAAAAACTAGGTCATACTGCCCAAATATGGAAAAATTTGTTAACACATTAGTGGTAACATTTTTGACTCAATTGTCATCAAACTTGGTCAGGCTGCTTGTCTAGGTAATTGCTCGGATGAGTTCGAACATGGGTCATCTCGGATGAAAAACTATTATGTCACTGGACCTTAAAATAGAAAAATCTTGTTCATACTCTAGTGGCTACTGTTATGATCCAAACATCCTGGAAATTGGTCTGGCAGTTTGTTTTGATGATTTCTAGGTCAAGTTCGATTATGGGTCACCTGGGTTCTAAAACTAGGTCATACTTCTCAAATATGGAAAAACCTTGTTAATTCTTTAGTGGTCACATTTTTGACACAATTGTCATGAAACTTGGTCAGTATGCTTCTCTAGGTAATTGCTCGGATGATTTTGATGGGTCAGATGAGCGATCTAGGGCCATCTTGGCCCTCTTGTTATATAATAACATGCTATTGAATATATATTGAATGCTAATGCCTTTTTAACATACATGTACATGTATTGTGTGAAGTGTTTTATTTAAGATATGGGATTAATTTTTGAATATTACTACAGGGGTTACATCAAGTAACAGAGATCAGGAAAAAACGCATTGAAGAATATTGGAACCTAAAATAGAAGGTTTAGAAAGGTAAATGTATTGTCTATTAAGCATTCAGCTAAAAGTCAACTAAAATACACATGGCAACATCAACATGACTGTAGCAGTATCTGTAAATTTTTCTCTGAAAAAGTAAAGATTAAAATAGATTAACTTGTAAAGGACATTTCCAAGTCAACCACTTGGTAGATTTAAAAGACCATGAGGTAGTCCTTAAGAAAAATTGCTCAAATGATTCCAGTCTGTTGGTGATAATGAAATATTGTCCATATAGATTATATCCTATGGTGAGCAATTAACAGCCATTATGCCCCTCTTGTGTCTCTAGGTTTTGAACAAAGGATGAAAGTAAAAATATTATACAATTATTGACTAGTGTGCCATTGAATATGATGTGATATTCACTGGCAGATGACATATTGACTGAGGTGAAAAAAGACGCACTTCCAAGGTGTGCAACAATTAAGTGAACGCAGCGTGTATAAAAGTAATTCAAGTTTATACTCATCAATGCAGTGTAACTTAATTAAAACAGTAAAGAAATGATTATTTAATAAAGAAATATACCATAAAGAACAAAACGCAACAATTATTTTTTAATAAGCATGCGTAATTAACTGTCTATGATATATGGTCATTGAATATGAGTCTCAATATATTTTTAGACTAGGAAAATCAAATTCAGCCTGTGAGTATGTTCCTACAACCAGTGAATATGATTCTATTAAAAAAATTGTTGACTACTGGTTGGGGACCATCAACCGGACATTTTTTGAACATTTTTCCATACAGATTTCGTAATTTTTAACCTAGAGATAAAAAAAATTGACACAGTTCAGCTAGGTTCTCCTCCTAACTAACAAACTAGTTTGTTTATTTCTGATTGTATTGACACTTATATCTGAGGCTTGACAAGGAGGATATCAAAATTACCTAAATTGTCTACACTACAGTACCATGTGTCCGGACAGAAATGTACATGACATGATTTTATTCAGATAAAAGCTTGAGTGTTTTGATTTTTGATTTTTAACATGATATACAATATTTCAGCAACAAATGCTGAAGTTTTTGATATTCTATTGTTTACTCTGCAAATGATTATAGCTGGTATATGAGGTCAGGCATTGCTTTCTTGACCCCCAAATTTCAACGTCAACATTCTTGAAATAGACATCAAAATATTTCCTTTTACGGAGATTGAAATAAACTTATTTACTTAATTTTAGAATAAACATACATTTATTGTTAATAAAAAAGTGACAGACAACCACTGAACAAAGAAAATACTGAATTAAGCATTTTCAGGGCCGTCCGGGTTTGGTGGTTGTCCGGTTTTGGTGGTCCTCGACCAGTACTGTTTGGACCAATGAGATTGCAGCTATATTTAGATCATATAATAAACTCTCTATTATATATATAGAAAATGTCTGCTTTTATAACATTGGACAATGTGATATGGCTATTAAATCTTGTATAAATTTGCAGGTTAAAGGTAAACAGAGATGTTCCTGCCATATCAATTTTGTTGTCAAAGGAACAGTTGGACAAAGATCATTCAGGGTACCTACTTCATTTTTATGGCCCCCTTCGTAGAAGAGTGGGTATATTGTTTTGCTAATGTCGATCTGTCTGTCTGTCAGTCTGTCCGTCAGTAGACCACATGGTTTCCACTGATCATCTTGAAAACTATTTATCACAAAGTCTTCATATTTTACATAGTGATTGGTCATAACTAGTAGATGACCCTAATGATTTTGGGGTCATTAGGTCAAAGGTCAAGGTCACAGGGCCTTAAATGTAAAAACGGTTTCCGATGATTATCTTGAAAAGTATTCATCACAAAGTCATCATATTTCACATAGTGATTGGTCATAACAAGTAGATAAGCCCTATTGATTTTCGGGTCACTAGGTCAAAGTCACAGGGGCCTTAAATGTCAAAATGGTTTCCCCTGATTATCTTGAAAAATATTCATCACAAAGTCTTCATATTTCACATATTGATCGGTCATAACTAGTTGATGACCCCTATTGATTTTGGGGTCAAAGGTCAAGGTCACAGGGGCCTTGAATGGTAATATGATTTCTGCTTATTATCTTGATAACTATATATCACAAAGTCTTTATATTTCACATAGTGATTGGTCATAACTAGTAGATGACCCCTATAGATTTTGGGGTCACTAGGTCAAAGGTCATGTCACACCTAAATGTCAGAATGGTTTCTGTTCATTATTTTGGTCACAATTTATCACAAAGTTTTCATATTTCACATATTGATTGGTCATAATTAGTAGATGACCCATATTGATTTTGGGGTCACCAGTTCAAAGGTCAAGGTCACAGGGTCTTTGAATGGTAGTATGATTTCAGCTCATTATCTTGAAAGATAATTATCACAAAGTCCTCATATTTCACATAGTGATTGATCATAACCAACAGATGATCCGTATTGCTTTTAGGGTCACTAGATCAAAGATCTAGGTCACAGGGGCCTTAAATGTCAGAATCGTTACCACATATTATCTTGAAGACTTTTTATCAAAAAAGTCTTCATATTTCACATACTGATTAGTTATAACTATTAAGTGACCCCTATTGATTTTGGGGTCACTAGATCAAAGGTCAAGGTCACAGGGTTCTTGAAATTAGTATAGTTTCCGTTCATTATCTTGAAAGGTATTTATCACAAAGTCTTCATATTTTTAATATTGATTTGTCATAACTATTAGATGACCACTATTGATTTTGGGTAGCTAGTTCTAGGTCTAGGTCACAGGGGCCTTAAATGTCTCATTATCTTGAAAACTATTTATCACAAAGTCTTCATTATTTTTCTTTTTTCCATAATTGAACACTTCCATGTACCCATTTATGGCAAGTTTCTATAACAAAATTACCAATTATGTGAGTCAAGGGCTAAGAAAGGGGGGCATATGTGTTGTTTGACATTTCTTGTTTTTACATTAGTTTGAACCAAAGCAATATATATAATATTTATTTTTAAACGCCCGAAAGAATTTCGGCTTATATTATTATGCACCTGGTTGTCCATGTGTCTGTCCGCCTGTCTGTTAGCAGGTTTTCTTGTCTGGTTTGTATTTTTTGAACCAGAGGAAGGAAATTGAATCTACTTGGCAGAAATGTTGACAATAATGAGACCTTTCTGAGGTCAAGGTCACACTTAGTCATTTTTTTTCAATATCAGAATTTTGTGTATGCTCTGTATCTTTTGAACCAATTAAAGGAAATTAAAACTTTTTGGCAGAAATATTACTTATGTTAAGACGGTGTGCAGAACACATTTTTCGACTTCCTTAGATCAAAGATGGCCCTGCCCCGGGGATTAGTTGATTTATATAGACTTATTTAGGAGTTTTTGTGTCCAGTCTGTATCTTTTAAACCAGTGGAAGGAAATTGAAACTACATAGCAGAAATATTAACAATAATTAGACGATGTGCAGAGCACATGTTTGACCCTCAGTTCAAAATCACACTTGGTCGTTTTGTATCAATATCAAAATTTTGTGTCTGCTCTGTATCTTTTGAAATGATGGAAAGAAATTAAAACTTTTTGACAGGAATATATTACTTATATAAAGACGGTCTGCAAAACACACATTTTGACTTCCTATAAGATCATAATAGCCTCTCCCCAAGGATTTATTGATTTATGTAGACTTATATAGGAGTTTTCGTGTCCTTTTGAACTGGTGAAAAGAAATAGAAACTACTTGGCAGAAATGTTAACTATAATAAGACAATGTGCAGAGAGTAGGTTTGACCTTCCTTAGGTCAAGGTCACACTTACTCATTATTTTGGGAGACATATTGTTTTTGCATTTGCCATCTGTCTGTCCGTTCATCTGTCTGGTCATCAATCAGTCCGTCCATATGAGGCTTGTCCGGCCTTCACAGGTCTAACTACTGGTTAGATATTAATCAAACTTTACAGGAGTGATCAAAAACATCCCTAGTTGTGCACATCGCTGCACAAAATGGCCATCAGAACTAAAAATAGAAAAATAGCTCTTTGTCCTGCCTTCACAGGTCAAACTACTGGTGGGATTTCAACCAAACTTTACAGGAGTGATCAGTACCATCCCTAGTTTTGCACTTCCCTGGCACGTACCGCTTCACTCCACAAAATGGCCACTAGAGCTATAAATAGAAAAATCTTGTCCAGCCTTCACAGGTCAAACTACTGGTGGGATTTCAACCAAACTTTACAGGAATGATCAGTACCATCCCTAGTTGTGCACATCGCCGGCATGTTCCGCTTCTGGCCGCCAGAGCTATAAATAGAAAAATCTTGTCCGGCTTTCACAGGTCACCTACTGGTGGGATTTCAATGAAACTTCACATGAGTGATCATTACCATCCCTTGTTGTGCATAATTATCACCAGCATGTTCTGCTTTGCTGCACAAAATGGCTGCCTGAGCTAAAAATGGAAAAATCCTGTCTGGCTATCACAGGTCAAACTGCTGGCCGGAACCCTTCTAGTTTTGTATCAAATTCAAAATTTTGTGTCCGCTCTGTTTCTTTTAAACTGATAGTATGAAATTAAGTCTATTTGGCAGAAATATTTATATTACTGAGATGATGTGCAGAGCACAGTTTTGAACAACTTCAGGTCAAGGTCACACTGACTCATTCAAAATCCTTATATAAGTGTATATAATTTTTACAAAGGGAAATTACAATGGATGAACTCTACCAAAATTATAAAGATCATGTCCCTGGGATCAAAACAGACCCGCCCTGCTGGGGGTCACTTGGTTTATGTAGACAATTAATTTGTTCATTCATTAATTACAATGTAAGTTTCTTGTGTGAAATTAGAATGCAAAGACCTTAAATATTTCTCATGAAGCATTTTGTAGCAGACTTTTACAAATATTTTTTAAATTATTCAGCTTGGATAAAAATGTGACCTTACCTGCTCTAACCTTTTTTAGGAATTCATCTTAGGGGAGCGATCCAGAGCTATCATGGCTATCTTGTTTCTGAAGTTATTCCTAAACAAAAAAGAAACAAAAACAAACAAAAAATATTATATTTATAAAAAGAAATGTTATTGCTATTGTAGTTACCAGGCTGCAGGCAGTTTTGATGAGTTTTGGAAGGATGTAATACAGAAGGACAAGGCAAGATCATCTTTGGGTCAAAAAGGCAAACATGGACTTAGGAATATCTATTTTGAAGGTACAAAAGAGTTAAGTAATGATGGGTCAAGAAGCAAGACAGATAATAACTATGACAATAGTAAAAGAAAGTTAAAGAATCAGAACAAAGGAAGAGGAAGATACAGAGGAAAGAAGGAAGGAGACAGACCTGGGCCCGACAGTAGTGTAGCTGACATTTCCTAGCTAGACATTTAAATTCAATAAGATCATTGTAACTATTAAACATCAATGATACTTGAAGAAGGATAGATAAATGTTCATAGCATTAAATCATAACAAAATGTGTAAAATTACATACATCCATGCCTATTATAGTTTCAAATGTACTGACCAACTTTCTGGTATACTTAATGAATTATAACTGTTATATAAAATGGCATTTAGTTTTATTATCCTCACTGTTGATACATTTTGCCCATTCTCATTAAAACACAGCATTTGGTTTTCCACTGGGTAACTTTGAGAATGTGTTCTAGAAATATGTGTTCCAGAAAAAATGAAACATACACAATTAGTCATGCATGCATATGCACTTTGATTATTAGTGAAAGGTATATTTGGCTGTTTAAACCTCACTGATGTCATGGATGATCAAATGTTACTAAATACATATAAATAAATATGTACAAACTTAAAAAATTTGTGAACAAAACAGAAATTATAAAAATGATATAATGCATGCTATAATACAGCGTATAAATAATTATAAACAAAAATAAGTTGTCTGCCTCTCAAAATTCATTCTGCTTTTTTAGCTCACCTGTCACAAAGTGACAGGGTGAGCTTTTGTGATCGCTTTTCGTCTGGCGTCCGGCGTCCGTAAACTTTAAATGACATCTCCTCATAAACCGCTGAGCCAATTTCATCCAAACTTCACAGGAATATTCCTTTGGTGGTCACCTTTAAAAATTGTTCAAAGAATTTAATTCCATGCAGAACTCTGGTTGCCATGGCAACCGATAGAAAAAACTTAAAATATCTTCTTTTAAAAAACCCAAAGAGGTAGAGCTTAGATATTTGGCATGAAACATCTTCTAGTGAGTGTCTATCAAGTTTGTTCAAATAAAAGCCCTGGGGTCAAAATTGGCCCCGCCCTAGGGGGTCATTTATTTTCCCTATATGCATATTGTAAAAACTTAGAAAATCTTCTTTTAAAGAACCCAAAGAGCTAGAGCTAAGATATTAAGCATGAAACATCTTCTAATGAGTGTCTATCAAGTTTGTTCAAATAAAAGCCCTGGGGTCAAAATTGGCCCCGCCCCAGGGGGTCATTGATTTTCCCTATATGCATATAGTAAAAACATCAAAAAAACTTCTTTTAGAGAACCCAAAGAGCTAGAGCTAAGATGCTTAGCATGAAAGATGTTCTAATGGGTGTCTACCAAATGTGTTCAAATAAGAGCCCTGGGGTTAAATTGGCCCTGTCCCGGAGGTCATTGATTTTCCTTATATGTGTATTGCAAAAGCTTTTTAAAAGAATCTTCTTTGAAAAAACCCAAATCGCTAGAGTTTAGATATTAACCCATTGCTTCATGAGCATTTTGTGAAAAATGGCTGTTTTCATTGAAAAGTCTCCCGTTACAAGTTCAAATTGCTATAATACTATAAAAACTGCTTCAACACTAATCAAACTTGGCACAAATGTTGACTGGACCATTGCCCTTGCAACAACATGCTCAGGCTTAAATTTTCTGTTACCATGGCAACGAGGGGACATCTCAAAATTGCGAAAAATCACTATTTTGCGTTGACTTTTTCCATCAAAATTGATTTCAAAGTGCTGCAACTTCTCAATGGATTGAGATAGAGTCAAATGCTTTTCAGCGTTGGTTACACGTTACCTTATGACCAATCTGGGGTCATTTACAGCCTCTCACAAGTCCAAAATTTTCTTGGCGATGAGGGGGACTCCGCCCCCCTTCAAACCCCCCCAAACAGAAGGGGGCACATCCCCCTTCTGGCAACCCCCTGATGTATCTTTTGGTTGGGGGGCCGCGCCGAAAAAGAGGTCACTTTTTTTAACAACATTTCTCAAACAAAAACAAGTGTTTGGGGCCTAAATAAGGCATTTTTTCATCATTTCAGTCAACAAAAAGGGGGGGGGGTGAAAAAGGCGTTAAAAGGCGTGTATATGAAGTAATGGGTTAAGCATGAAACATCTTCCAGTTAGTGTCTTCAAAGTTTGTTCAAATAAAAGCCCTAGGGTCAAAATTGGCCTTGCCCCGGGGGACATTAATTTTCCTTATATGTGTATAGCAAAAACTTAAAAATCTTCTTTGAATAAAAAGAAATAGCTAGAGTTTAGATATTAAGCATGAAACACCTTCTAGTGAGTGTCTTCAAAGTTTGTTCAAATAAAAGCCCTGGGGTCAAAACTGGCCCCGCCCTAGGGATGTCATTGCTTTTAACTATATGTGTATAGTAAAAACTTAAAAAATCGTTTTTTTAAAAACCCAACGAGCTAGACCTTAGATGTTTAGTATGAAACATCTTCTAATGGGTGTCTACCAATTTTGTTCAAATAAAAGCCCTGGGGTTTAAACTGGCCTCGCTCTGTGGGCCTATATACAGGTGAGCGACTTCAGGGCCATCATGGCCCTCTTGTTGAAAATTTCATTTTTAATTCATTTTTTCTCAACTGCATTTTAGATTGAATGGTTTTAACGCTAATCCATTCAAGAAAAATCCAATTAGAAAGAAAGGTACTCTTTGTGTAATTCTTATATATTGACCATGACTTATTGATCATGATACGATCTTGTTATGCTTCTCATTTTTATGCCCCCAGGCATATAGTAAGTAATTGAATGGTCTGTCCGTCTGTACAAACCCAGAGGTACTTGTGTGACTTGGAGAACAATAAGTAACAGTAAATTCTCTTTCATCCAATTCTGATTTTACTTGTGTGTCTTTTTTTTAAAAAGACTAAAACAGGCTAAAAAGATCAATGGAAAAGTCACATAAGTACCATTTCTTAAGTATGTCCGTCGATCTGTCTGTCTGTCTGTCTGTCTGTCTGTCTGTCTGTCTATACGAGGTTAACCTAAAATGGCAAGTTTGATTTTTCTTAAGTTCTACCTATACCAATGACTTAATAATTTACACACTTACTAATCAACACAAAGTACATGATCTGGATACGAGGAATTATATCACGAGGACATAGCCCGAGTGATATAATGATGTGCATCCAAACGACAAACAGTGATGTTATCAAGCGATAAACTCACTGATTTGGATATATTATTTCGATTCTTACACGACATCAACAAATAAATGCTGCCGTACCTGATATTAAGCAAATTGCGCCTGATTTGTTTCTTATTATTGTTACTTCTTTCAAGTGCGTCGGATTCTTTTAGTGATTACGTCACATGTATAATGATTACGTCACATATCTAAATATAGAACGTCAACTGTGACTCTATTTGCATAATAACACACACTTTCTGTTCTTCTATATTCAATAGTGAAAAATGCGGGTCGTGTTAGAATTAATGATATCTTTCATATTTGGTAGGTAGATACCTAAAATGGTCCTCAGATTTTTTTTGGAGTAATGGGTCTCTAAGTCAAGGTCAATGGTGTAAAAAACAAATTTTAACATTTTTGCTCATACAATCGTTATTATAAATACCGTAAAATTCCTAATAATCGCCCCTCCCCTAATAAAGGCCCCCAGGCCTTTTGATAAGAAAAACAATCTACTCATCAGTGCTGAATTCATGAGAAAATCCATAATTTCATTCAAATCATTCAAAATCCATTTTATTTTATAGAATGAACTTTAAAATCTGAACACTTTTTAATGTTATTACCAACACTTGCTAGCACTAAATGTATTTACAATGATTTTTACAATGATTTTTGGCTTTAGGAAAAACTGTGTTGTAATAATAGCCCCCCTTGGCTAACTCGACGGTAACGGAACACTGACTGTCTGATTTGTTTATTATGTCTCTTTTCACAGTTTGAGTTATTGTAAGGCATAGAAATCTGCTTTATACTAATGCCTAAATGCACAAGGAAGTTAAAATCGGTATGAATAAAATATAAAGTATTTGTATAACCCGTTGCTTTTGTATATTAATTTCCCAAAATATCAACGCAACGGAAAAGACATTTATCGGCGCCAAGTTCTATTCAATCGCCGAAAAGAATTTGACGAGAGCTTTTAATGAGTAACCAAGTTGAGTTAATTAAAGACAGTGAAACTTTATCTGACAAATATGGCATGGCAATATTTACAGTGGGAGCATAAGTAAACTATGTTCGTTAAATCATTATCCAGTACCCAAATGTAAACATGTGCGGATATTATCGGACTGTATCGTTATGAGGTATCTGCTGTTCGTTTTAAATCAAACTTTTATTGTATTTAAACAAAAATAATAAAACATGTTATTTTGTAATTCATAATTTCTTTATTTAGCAATAGAAGTAAAAATGATGATGAAAATGCTAATATACAACATCCATTGTAAGTCAATGCTCAGTACATAGAATTCTAAAGGGGACATTGAGAAAACCAGGCCGCTGAGAAAACCGGACAAAACACTCGGTCCGAAAGCCGTCCGGTTTTCTCAACTTTCTCTGTAATAAAAAATAACTGACATTAACTGGATTTTCTCAATTAATGCAAATAAAAGGATATGTTGTGCTTTGAGGGTACCTATGTTCAAAAATGAGAGGGTACCTGTGATATAAAAATTCAAATGAATTGCGGCTGCAAAACTGAAAGTAGGGTGTTTTTATGAATTTTACATTTATTTTTGACAATATACTGCCATTTGTCCGAAGATGATATGTATGTGAACATATTAAATATGTATGATGCATATATAATCAAGCCACAGGTTCATATCAGCCAGAAAAATATGTCGAGATGATGGGCGATGCAAGATATGTCGAATTGTTGTAGCTTATTGTGAAGTTGCAGTACATGAAAATCAGGCACATGATGAATCAGCACATAAATAAAACATTCTAGTGTTCCGTGGTATTCATCTTTTCTAATTGTCATACCTCCTTTCCTTATTACAATGAAACGTTACTGCATTGTTATCCACCGCTGGTTTGTTTTTAGCAGAGAATGACCTGTGCATGTTCAAAGAGGGTACCGTTTGAGCAGATTTCGCAAAGAGGGTACCGATATGGATATGTACCGTGGATTTGTTCAAACGTTTCTTTGTTTGCTTTTAGAAAAAGTAAAGTCAAGTTTTGACCCAACCCGGTGTTGACTCTTGTTACTATTGAAAATAGAACATATAAAAAGCGGTACTGGACACTTTGTTCGGATAAGAAAGGATTCCAGATTAGAAGGGTTCGGATTAGCAAGGCTCCACTGTATATCTCTTTTGTAAAAGGGCATAAAATAATCATTCCCAAAGTTGACTTTTTTGCTTTCTATTAATATTGAACTTTGAAGTCATTAGTGTAAAATTAAGTGACTTCCTATCCAGTATTGAATAGTCCCTCTAGGTAGATAGTTTACAGTTGTTTTTTTTAATATTTTTACAGACATTTGTTACTTACATGTAATCATTATTTTCCATTATAAGATCTTAAATCTATGTTACTGAAGAAATACAGTCTCATTACAGAAATAAATGCTATCCTGTATGCAATAAATGCAATATAGTTTCTTGTTGAAAATATTTCTGGCTAACTTGCAATATACCATATACTTTTATTTCAGCAATGAAGAATGACACAATGTTAACATCAGTATTTCAATATTTCCAAACCTCAAATGAGTGATTTATCCATTTAAAGCTCTACTTTTCAAAGAAAAAGCAGAGCTAATTTCATGACCCACATTACTGTTGGTAAACCTTTTTACTTGATTTTCTATTTATTGTCATTTATCTCAATACTAATAAGGCTATTTTTTGAAACATTATAATTATGTTGATGCACCTTGATGTCTTGAACCTGCCACCACCATTTTCAAGTTAAAAAGTCAAAGGTCATGGTCACTGGGACCTGTAATTACAAAACATAAACTGGTCATTAAATCAAAGTGCATTGACAAAAGAATATGAAACTTTGTATGTAGATACACCAATAGGAAAACACATTTAAGTCTTCCCTTGTTAAATTGCAATGTTCAGAGCTTAGATGCTTGGAGTGTAGCATTGTCTAGTGGACCTCTACAAAAGTTGACTTATTAGAATTTTTTTAGCCTAAAATTAAAATGCCAAGCGTAGATTTTGTGCATGTAGCATTTCCCATTATACTCCTACTTTGTAGAAGTTATCCTGATTTCACCATACCTTCTTGCTTCCATTAAAGAACTGTGCTACAGACCTTTAACCAGACAAAACAAACCTCTTTGCTCTATATGAACAAGTGACAGCATGATCTCCCATGTAAACTTTGAATTTCCCTTTTTAACCAGGTTTTCCGAAGGAAAAAACTGGTTATTAGATTGAGGTATGTCGGCGGGCGGGCGGGGGAGGATGGGCGGACGGGCGGGCGGGCGGGCGTAAGCAATTTCTTCTGTGCGCAACTCCTCCTACATTTCTCAACGGATTTTGACCAAACTTTCACAGAAGCTTTGTCATCAAGTGCCCTGGCGCATATTGTCGGGGTTTTGCGATTAGATAATATTTGACCTAATTATGGCCCTTTGTTTTTTTTCCTTATATAAAATATATAGTGAACAATTTCTTCTGTGCGCAACTCCTCCTACATTTCTCAACGGATTTTGACCAAACTTTCTCAGAAGCTTTGTCATCAAGTGCCCTGTCACATATTGCCAGGGTTTTGCAATTGGTATATATTTGACCTAATTATGGCCCTTTGTTTTTTTTCCTTACATAGAATATATAGTGAACAATTTCTTCTGTGCGCAACTCCTCCTACATTTCTCAACGGATTTTGACCAAACTTTCACAGAAGCTTTGTCATCAAGTGCCCTGGCGCATATTGTCGGGGTTTTGCGATTAGATAATATTTGACCTAATTATGGCCCTTTGTTTTTTTTCCTTATATAAAATATATAGTGAACAATTTCTTTTGTGCGCAACTCCTCCTACATTTCTCAACGGATTTTGACCAAACTTTCTCAGAAGCTTTGTCATCAAGTGCCCTGTCACATATTGCCAGGGTTTTGCAATTGGTATATATTTGACCTAATTATGGCCCTTTGTTTTTTTTCCTTATATAGAATATATAGTGAACAATTTCTTCTGTGCGCAACTCCTCCTACATTTCTCAACGGATTTTAACCAAACTTTCTTAGAAGCTTTGTTATCAAGTGCCTGGCACATATTGTCGGGGTTTTGTGATTGGATAATATTTGACCGAATTATGGCCCTTTGTATATTTTTTCCTTATACAGAATATATAGTGAACAATTTCTACAGTGCGCAACTTCTCCTACATTTCTCAATGGATTTTGACCAAACTTTCACAGAAGCTTTGTCATCAAGTGCCCTGGCGCTCACTAAATTCCCATGTTTCTTCCAAGACATCATTCAAGTATTTTTTTACATACTTTTTTGATATCGCACAAAACACCACACGCCAATATTGTTGACAAAAGAAAATGACAAGAGACGCAAAAATGCAAAAATTAAGCAAAAATAAAGTACTGTTTACCTTTCTAAAATATTTGGGAAAAAAAGGCGAATAGACAACATAAAATTTCTCAATCATTTTTGTTTGAGGAATATTAAAAAAGCCATAATTCCTCCTAAAAGTTCAATTAAAAACAAATGCCCCTTCATGACAAAGCTTCTGTGAAATATTTTGCTGAAAACCTGGTTGCATCGCATTGCGATGTTCCTTGTTTATTCTATAACTTTTTTATTTTATTAAATTTCAAATATATGTTCATTATTAACACCAACATCATATGTTACCGGTATTAGATTTATAAGTCTAGTGCCTGTGCTTCCATGATTATTTTCATTTTTAACTTGGAATTCATTTGAATATTGTTATGTATCTTTTTTTCTTTGTTACTATAAATGGCATATATTTGAAAATTGTTATATTTTTCACTTTTCTTCTTTATTAAAATAATTTTATTATCTCCTTTTTAGTTCTTTTGAAAATGTTATATTCTGGTTTCAAAAGATTTGCCCTCTGCCAGTCAGTCCAGCCTTCCCTAAAAAAAATTTCCCAGGATTACTTTTAAAGAACATGTAACTTCTTAAAATAGAGAAAAGTTGAAACGATAGTTATACATATTCATCCTGAGAAAATTGGATCTTTTGATTATCTGTTGTATAAACATAGTTTCGTTATTAGGCATGAAAACTTAACCATGTTATTGTGATACAAATAAACTAAGAAATCAAAAGATTTAAGTTCATACATGTCTTCCACAATGGCATTATTGAATGGTCTTGGCCCTTCAGAATGTTGCTGGGGTTCTAACCAGTAGGGGACTTTTGTATTGCTGCAATACTTTGATAATTGCTTGTTACATAATGGACTGTCTTCATACTTGGACACAGCAACCTTTCTAACAAAACCTTTAAATAGACCAGACAGAACTTAACCTTAACTCATAAATAAGGTCAAATTATTCAATTTTGGTTGATTTTGGATTAAATTGGCTTTAACTTTATTACTTATAAACGGACTGTCTTCATATTTGGACAAAACAGGACATTCAAGTAGAACAAATTGACTATGACCTTCACTCATCAATGACCTTGACCTTGAAGGTCAAATTAATGGACTTTGTTCGTTTTTTGCTATAATGGGATGTAAGTTTATATTGTCTTCATACTTGGACATAATTTATACATGTGCTTTCATTTATTTTTGGTATGATTTCAGATATGTGCCACCAAGGGCATATTTGACCCCAATTTTTTATGAAAATGAAATAATTAAAAAAAGTAAAATTATAAAATGATAATAAGGAAATGTAAATAATAATAACATTTTCATGTATGAATGTGAGTGTGTATGTAATCTATTATAATGTTTTATGATAAATGCTTTATTTTCAGATTTAATATAATGTTTTGAAATCATAATCATATTGTTAATTAACTCTCTGTTTAGGTGTAAAAAGCCATAAGGCATATTTTTAGTAAAGTTTATCTTAATACTTAAATATCACATATGTCAGTCTTTTTGACACTTAAGAAGATTATTTCACTTTTAGAAATCTTTTACTCTTATCAACACCTTTTGGTTTAGGTGCTATTTATTTATAATACTTTGTAGCTTTTAGCAATTAATGCTATTAGGAAATTATGTAACATACAGGATATGTTTTATACCTTTTTTCATAAGATAATTTTTATCCAGATTAAGCATCATGTAATACTTTTATATTTTTCATTGGTTAATGTCTTTTTATTATTTTTCATTGGTCAATATTTTTCAATTTTCATTGGTTAATCAATTAATTATTCAAATTAATAATACTTGAGATTATTATATATAAAGAGACAAAAATAAGTTAAGACAGAAGGAAGAATTGAGAATTAAGAATTAAGAATGGAGAATTAAGTATTAAGAATTAGAACAGTTAAGAATAAAGAATGGGAATTGTTAGGAACAGACTAGGAATCAGAATTAATGTAATAGTGTGTTAAAAGTATCTTGGAAACCCTTTTGATAAGAAACATTGTGGAATTAATATTATTTAATGAAAGTGAATTTAAGAAACTTTTATGGAAATTTAAAATATTAGTAACTGTGAATAAAGAAAATAAATAATTAAATAAGTATGGAAAAAATTTTGGGTGTTCAATTTCTTTTAAATAAAGTTTATTGCTATAAACACTCTAATACTGATGTAAGAGTAAATTACGTGACCGACTGCTTGGGGGGTGGCCAACTAATATTGTGTATCGGGATCTTCAAGCTTAGAACTTCGGCTAAATTTTTCCCCACAAGCCCCTTTAAAACAACGGTAGGAAATTACCCTCTACCCGGGGTTAGGTTTTGTAACGTGTTGCTGTTTTATAGTGGAGAGTTGTGGGACGTGCAGTTAGGGCCCGCAAAACTCCACACAGGTGTAGCAGCGCCACCCCACCCCCTAAGGACCCCCCGGTGGGGATTTGGGTGGATGGCCGGGTACTCAGTAAACTGCTGAGAGATCATTTGGACATTTTTGTGATATGAAGGTACAAATACAGACGATATCCTACACACTCAGTGAGATGATCGGCACTAGAAGAACAGATTCAAACATTTGGTTACGCAGGGCAGCAGGATCTACATGA